ATATTATACACCTTTTAAAAATTTTTAATACATTTATAAAAAATTTAATTAGAATATTTTAACTTATATAATATTTAAAATTCTGCTTTTACTTAATTTGAAGAAAAATTCTAATGAACCCACTATAAAGGAAATTTCCCCCTTTTTTTTTATGAACAAATCCCCTAATCAAATTAGCAACTCAGGTTTTATTCAAAGAAATTGAGAAAAGTGTAGCAATACAAACTTTGTTACTCTCTTTATTCCTTTCTAGTTATTTGATTTTTTAACTTTTAGAACATAAAATTTAAATAAAACTTTAATATATTATATAAATAATAATTATTTTTTAATCAAAAAAGTACTTAACAAAAAATTCATATAAAAAAGCTTTTTAATGATTATTTGTATAAAATATTAAAATTTTATTTAAAATCCATACCTCTATATCAAAATCTGTGCATTTTTCCCATGCCACCCTTTTACATTTTGATAGGTAATTACCTCATGATGCTGCATACAAATTTTCGTGCTGTTCAACGCGTAATCCACCTGTTACGGATTTTATAAGAAAAATGCTTTTGAAATTCATATAAAATAATTTTAAATCAAAAAATTAAATTAAATCTATTAAAAATAAATTGAGGAAATAATTTTTTTCTTTAAAGATAAAATTTTTTAAAAATTTTAAATTAAAAAGCAAACTTTTATTTTTTTATTTAAAGATACAAACATTATTTTATTTTGATTAATATTGTTGTTTGTCACATCATCATCACAATTCGATTCATCTTTAAATAAAAAAATAAAAAATTCATATCTTTGTTTAGAAAAATTTTATTACTTAATTTTAAAATTAAAAAAATTCATAATTTTAAATAAAAAATAACAAAACTCATTTCTTTATTTGCACTTTTTCTCTCTAGAAATTTTTCTATGCATCAAACAGTGAAGGGTAAGAGAAATTAGTATTAAAATATACATAATTATAAATGCTAAATTAACTTAAATTTCAATGTACAATATTTACATAAATAAAACTACTAATCCAACCATTCTATTTCAAAGTTTTTTTTTTTTGCACACTTTAAATTGTATGGAAGACAATTTTTTTTATCTTTTAACTTATTCCATTTATATATTATGTAATTCAAACTTATGAAATCTTATTTTTATTAAAAAAGAAAAAAAATAAAAATCAAGACATTTTAATATTTTGAATGTTAGCACTTTTAATAAAATTATTTACATACTTTAATACATTTTTTATATATTAATTTATTAAAAATATTTAAATAATTATATAAAAAGTACTATCATTTTAATTATTAAAATGTTCCAATTTTTGAACCGAAGTTTCAGCTCAAGTGGTTTGTCTCCAAACCTTATATTCGAAGTAGTTAGTCACAGTTTCGAATTCTATCAACAACTTAAAAAAAATCTCTCTGTTTTTTTTTAAAAAAAATCCCAATTTTCTATAATTGCAAAAAAAAATTATTACTGTCACACTAGTAAATTAGTTTGTTCTCCTCTATTTCAAAGTTAGTTTGTTCTCGCTCTATTTCAAAGTTAAGCATGTTGAGTATATTAAAAGAAAATTTTTATTAGAAAATGATTAGGGATAATTTTTTTTATATGATTTTTTTTATAATTTTATATAGTATTTAAATAATTAATTCTTTTTATTCTTTTAAAATTCATCATATTAAATATATCTATTCATTTGATTATATGTTAAAGTAATATAAAAAATAAAAAAAAAATTATCCCTATATCATTACTTTTTTTTTATTAATCTCTTAATATTTAAAAATTACATTATATTTTACTTAATTTAAAATCAAAGCACCTTAAATGTGTCTGCCATTTAAAAAATATAAACTCTAAATTTTATTTAAATAAAACTGAATTTATTTCATTCCAACAAACAAATTAAAGTTAGTTGGTGACAGAAGAAAATTTTTTTTTGGGCAGTGCTAGGGGCACTCGCTTTTTGCACTCTCCGGCGAACACTTCCCCTTTCATTGGGCCACGTAAGCTTCTTTAAAAGCTTTCAGCGCAACCTCTGACACCAAAATAACGTGGCCCAATAAAATCGAAAGTGCTGACCGGAGAGTGCAGGAGGCGAGTGCCCCTAGCATTGCTCTGTTTTTTTTAGGGTATCTTTACCCCAACAGGCCAACTCTGGAAACAAAAAAAGTAACAAAAAAAAGAAAAAAAATCGGCTGAAGCCTAGTCTGGGTAAATATGGAAGAGAAAGAGTCAGCATGTTTTTATTTACGAATCCTGCCATTGCCTGCCGTTTTGGTACTCTCTATGGTTTGGTTAAGAGCACTCTCCTGTACAGGCACAACTCCTCAGCTTACAGCTTTTCTCATCTTCGATCTCATCAAATTCAGATTCCTCTTCGCCGTCTCCTAAAATCCAAGCTGAGGACTCTGCAATTCTGATCTCAAATTAATCGAATCCAATCGCGCATGCTCCTCATCTAATCCTGTTTGCTTTCTGTTTTTTGGTTCTATCCTGTTTAGTTTTGATTTATTGTTTTCGTTGATGTTTTGCTGAATCTGGAGTGAAGAGAGTCATGAAGCGAGGCTTGGATTTCGCACTGGGGGCTGAGTCTGAGCTCGTTGGTTCACTTGGTCCCACTCAGGGGTCGGAGATTCAGTCTCAGTGCTGGCAACGAGTTGATGCGGGTGCTAGTTGTAAGAGAGCCAAAGTTACTCGGGTAAATGGTTACATTGTTTATACTCGGACTAGGAAGTCTAGGATTAGTGCATGTCATGGATTTTTGGATAATTTGGAAAGGTTAAAGAGCTTGAATGAGCGAAGAAATGATGCTTTAGATACTGTAATTGATGAGACACCAGTGGCTGAAACTGTAATTGGAGTGGGAGGAAATGTAATTGAAGATAGTTTGGCTGTTGGAAACAGGATTCGAGCCAGACCCAATATGGGGAATTTAATAGACGAGCTCTCATTGGTTGAGGTTGTGATTGAAGAGAGCCGGGATTTTGATGAAAATTCAATTGAAGGGAGCCTGGTTGTTGAAACAATTGGGGACGGCTTGATTGTTGAAACTGTGTTCAAAGACAGAGTTATTGAAAATGCAGGTGAAATGGTGTCTGGTTATTATTCAAAAATGGCCCTTTTTAAGGGAAAGAATAATTTACCAGTGAAAGACCTGATACGGTTTACTCAATTAGTGAAACCAGAGGCTAGGCATGAGAAGAGTGTGGCTGGGAAACCACAGGTAGTTGAGAATAAAGTGGTTCCAAATTTGGATGGGGAGGCAGCAGCTGAAGTAAGTGGGTTGGGGACTCTAAGAAAGAATCTGGAGTTGAAAATGTCGAAAAAGATAGCACTTAACAAGTGCCCAATGACAGTTAAGGAGCTATTTGAGACTGGTATACTTGATGGGGTTCCAGTAGTTTACATGGGTACTATAAGTAGTAAGGTCGACTTTCTCTAGGCTCATTTCTTTTTATTTTAATTTAATTTCTTATTCAGTAGCCATTAATGAATTTAATGAGTAGCAGAAGGATTAATATTGGTGGTTATTACTTTTAGACTGCTGGTCTCCGAGGCACCATTAAAGATGGTGGAATTTTGTGTTCATGTTCCTCGTGCAAAGGACGCAGAGTAAGAGTTATCTTTGCTCTAATGCAGTTTTGAAAATTCTGTGAATTGATAAATGTCATGGTTTAACTTCTTTTTATTTTTGTTGATTGCTTTTATTATCATTATAGGTTATTACAACTTCCCAATTTGAGATTCATGCTTGTAAACAATACAAACGTGCAACACAGTATATTTGCTTTGAGAATGGAAAGAACTTGCTTGATGTGTTGAGGGCATGCAGAAGAAGACCTCTCCATATGTTGCAATCAACAATTCTAAGTATTCTTAGCGCTTTGCCAGAGGAAAAGTTTTTCTCCTGTAGAAGATGCAAAGGTGAGCACGCTTTTCCTATTCTTTTTGTTGCATAATGGTGTGTAGATTTCTGTTGATTGTACTGGAAGAATTCTTCTTGACTCCTTTTCCATTTACTCATTTATAGGGACTTTCCCCATAATTGATGTTGGTCACATAGGGCCTCTGTGCAATTCATGTGTGGAGTCAAAGAAAAAATCCCAAGGCAGCCCAACTGGTACAACCAGGAGACAAGCTAGGTATGCATTCTTTAGGAATAACCTTGCAAAGATGTCTTTTCTCTTCTATGGTTGGTTAATCGGGTTCTTATGATGTAGGTTGTGCTAGTTGATAGATTTCTTGTTTCTCATATGGTACTTAATAGCCTCTTCTATGCTTTTTTCTTTTGCAAGATAAAAGTCAGCCTGCTAATGATTACTCAAAATTATAAAGAAAAAAATAAAAAAAGGATTTAAACAAAAACGTTGCTGGAGATGGCTAATGAGACAGTGGTGGGGCTTCTCTTTTCATACTTGCACCAAACCTTCTTGATTATGTTTGTCAGCTCAAGTTGTTCAACTGGTTACCATCTCATTCTGCCCCAGTATGTACTATGTAGTGACTTATGTTGTTGTTTTTACTATAAAAAAACTCTCCTGATCTATTTAAGATTATCTTGGTTCTTCTTAAGATTCCTCCAGTCAGTTCTATTCTGCGAAAACAACAACAACAACAACAATAATAATAATAATAACCAGCCAGTCAGCTCTATTCAGTTCTTGGAGCTAAGATGCCAGTGTGTACCAATTTTTCATCATTTGCTTGGGAATCTAACTTACATGCTTGAGGGCAAACAAGTAAAATTGGCATGAAGTGTTGTTGATGCCCTTTGTACATAAGCAAGTGATTTGGGCCATTTCCATGTCAGTTCATCGCTCCCATGAGAAGCTTGGATGCGTGGTATTTGTCTTGTTTTTGGATGGACTGATCAATGCCAGATATAAACTTATAGTTGAAGTTTACAGGACATAGTTAAAGAGAAATGAAACAAAAATAAGCATTCCTTTTCTTTTATTATTTATTTTAGGTATGTGTAAACTTATAATTGAAGGTGCACAGACATAAGTAAAGAAATGGTTCCGTTCAGTTATTAGTTAACATAGTCCTGATAAGTTATTTCATCTTGTGCCCGCTTTTTTTATTTTTTCAGATCATGGGATCCAGTTTTGGTTTCACAGTCTCCTGAAAGTTCTTCAGTTAGCATCTCTTCACAAAATAATTGTTTCAGATCACCAGTTTTCCTCTCACATTCCTCGCCAAGCACTTCAGTGGACGTCACTTCACAAAAAAAGAATCTAAGGAAGATAACAGAAAGGTAAAAATCTTTAGTTTTTTGTTGGTTTGTGTATTTCTGGCTTAGTGTTTGCTATTCTTCTCTGCTAGTTTCTAACACCTCAATATTGGTCAAAAAAATATGCAATACGAGATCTGATTCTTATATTTTTGTCTTTCTTCCCACATTGTTTTCTTCTTCTGTTCAGGCCTTCTGAACTGGATATGGAATCAAAGTTACACAAATGTGCTTCAATGTCTATTTCTTTGCAGGATAAGACTCCATTGAGGACAATGGGGAAGTATGTGGCTTTATGTGTGTTGTTTTGCCTATTTCTGTGTTGTAATTCTGTTAACCATTTGCTTTCCATTAATGCCAATTAAATACTACTATTGGATTCCATTCTGAGACTAGGATGTGGTTAATTGTTGGGGGCATTCTTGGTGTATAAGTTAGGTTGGTTGATTACAAAAAACAAATAGGGTTAGCTGTTTCTGAGAACAGCCAAGCAGTATTAGAAACAATCAATCTCCTTTAAGTTGAATCTTGGTCTTTGGCCCTAACCTATCAGCAAAAATATCTGTATCATTACACTAGGGATATAGGAATAGTTTTATTATGTTGTTCCTTTCTCTTATATTTTTAGTATGCATTTTTTATTGTCCAATATTCAATTTTCAATTTTTATATGTTTTCATCCGTTTTATTTCAGGTCTCGAAAACCAGCATTATTGGCAAAGTTCTCCAAAAGTGCTTCAGTGCATATCTCCTCGCAAAATAAGGCCCGATGGAAACTCATAAAAAGGTTGGTATCATTTATCTAGGTTTGTTGTCAGTGACATTGTCTTTCTGGCTTTAGTTCTGCTTTCCAGTTCTAGGACATTTGGCTTTAAGGCAGAATATATTTTTAATTATGCATCTTGAGGGCCTTTTAGTAGCGCATAGTGTTATTGTCTGGATACTTATGCACTTTTTACATGATTCCACTAACAATTTTCTCAGGTCTACAAAATCAGCTTTGATATCAAAGTCATTACAAATTGCCCCTTCACATACATATGCACCAAATGGAAGTGAACGGAAGATGACAACAAAGTCAGTATCACCTCAGCCTATTTATAGCTCAAGTTTTTCTTTTCCTTTTCTGTCACATAAGTAGTTTCTTTTGTTAATTGTTTCTTGTATAGAGACCAGAGATTGCATAAGTTGGTATTTGAGGAAGGTGGACTGCCTGATGGAAGTGAACTAGCATATTTTACCCGTGGAAAGGTGGTTGACAGAAAGTTAATATATTTCTGCTGGTGTTTATATTTTAGTTTGTGTAAATGTAATCTCTTGTCATTGCCAGAGATTGCTTGGGGGTTACAAAAAGGGCTCTGGAATAGTTTGTTATTGCTGCAATTCTGAGGTACCATTCATTATTGTTTGAACTTATCAGTGCCTGAATCTTGTATTGGATATAATTATAATATTCCTTTAATGTCCAGGTCAGCCCCTCAACATTTGAAGCTCACGCTGGTTGGGCATCTCGAAGAAAACCGTATGTTTTATATATACAAGCTACTTTTCAGCGCCCTAAATCACTCTCTTTGGTATAAAATGTATTTTTATTTGATAATTTTTTCTGTGTTTTTGACAGCTATGCATATATTCACACATCTAATGGGGTTTCTCTTCATGAATTGGCAATCTCTCTCTCAAAAGGTCGTCGACACTCTGCCAAGGATGAAGATGCATGCATCATTTGTGCAGATGGTGGAAATCTTTTGCTTTGTGATGGATGCGCTAGGGCCTTCCACAAAGGTTAACTACTATTTATTTTTTATTTGGCTAAATTCAATAAATAGTCTATTAACCATGTGATTTATTTCAGTTTAGTCTAGAAACAAATTTTTTTTTCAAAATGATCTATAAACTATCAATTTTGTTTTAAAATGGTCTACTTAACAAACATTTCGTTATTTGACTAAC